TGCACAAGTAGGGCAGTCACTCAACCCAGAAGCTCATCCTGTGCCCTTGGTCACACTCAGAGGCAAAATGCAGCCGCATTCTCTTAGATGGATGCTAAAGTACTTAAAAGGGATACTCAGATGAGGTGGTGCTTGCAGGACTCTGATGGCCACTGAACAGAAATAAAAGTAGGAAGGGAGGGGAGGCCAGCAGCACAGGTGGAGTCCTGCAGGGTTCTCAAAAGACCTCAATGAGACAACAGCAGGCACCTGCACCCACATCACTGGCATCTTCTCTGCTACCTGCCTCACCTGCACTAAGACACCACATCCTGCGTGAGAGCTCGATGGATGCAGTGGCCATCCACGAAGACTGAAGAGTGCCCAGAGGCTCATGTTCACCTCCCCTGCCCTTCTCACTCTCAGGTTGAAGAGGTACAAAAAGCCATAGCATTGATCCCTAGCTGTTCTGCATTTGCCTTGCAAATAAATGCCATCGGCAAAAAAAAATTCGAAGTAACAGCACCCACAAATAACGGCGTGTCCTCTCCCCTGTGAAGGTAGACAGAATGAAAATAAATGAAGCCATAATTCTTTATTGTATGCTGGTAGGAATCTTGAGTCTGTTTGGAAGATTATTTGCTGGATAGACAATTCGTATTTTATATATTTTTATGCATTTATAAGGCTCATTTCTGCTGGGCCTTATGCCATAAAACCCAAGGGAACAGCAATGATTCAAGACTCGAGATAAAGATTTGAAATAGAACCAGTACAGTGGTTCAGAAAATGGACAAAATGAGAAGTAAAACGGGATTTGTCAAGATTGGATAGCGTGTGAAGGATGGTCTCCAGGCAACTGTTTCAGGTTGAAAAAGAAAAAAAAGTAACTTTTCAGATGAGACTAAAATGGCCACTGTGAATTGATGAAGTATGAGGGTCTGCCTCAATGGTGGCACACACACTGGCTGGCAAGTTCTGGAGCCAAGACTTAACAGCTGTCAGTTTCCATGCAAAACCAAGATTGCTGACTTCTCCTAAAGCACAAGCCCATACTAAGTCCCTGTTACCACCTGAAACCCACTGGAAAGAGTTTGCTGGTCTTTCCTCTTTGGTCAGTCCATGAACTGTCCTTGACCTCACTACGCCTTGACCTGCCTGACCCCTTCACTCATTCACATCATCCACCAGCCACTGCTAGCCGTGGAGTCGGCAAGTCCCCTCACAAACCCCAGCTGCTCACACGGGGTCAAGTTGAAGATCAGATACCTGCTCACCTACATCGGCCAGCTCCGGTCATCTTGAGTAACTCGGGAAAGCCAAGCCCACACTGTTCCTGGTAAGATCGCTCTCCCTTCAATCGCCCTCTCCACGGCAGTCTTAAAATGCAGACCCCCACCCCAGTCCTTGAACCTTCCTCATCAAGCAGTGGGGGTCTCCTTCTCTTAGATCTGGACTCTGTGGGCTCTGTGACTTCTTGGATGGTGGGTGGAACATGGTGGAAGGGGTGCTGGACGACTGTGTGAAATAGTTTGAGTGTGCCCCTCAAGGACACACGTGTTGAGAGCACAGTCCTTAGTGTGGTAACAGGAGGAGGTGGTGGGATTTTAAGAGGTGGGACCTATGAGAGGTCACTGGGGGCACTGTCCTTGGAAGGATCAATGCCCATGGGCCTCTGAGTTAGTTCTCTGAACAGTGAGCTGTTCAAAGAGAGCCCTTTCCTGTGCCTGACTTCCCATTGCCTCATGTGATCGTTTCTCACATGTATTCCCACTGTTGTGATGCCCTTTGCCACGAGGTCCTCACCAGGGCTGAGTTGATGCCACAACCATGCTCTCCAACCTCCAGAATGTTGAGCTAAATAAATTTCTTTTCTTTACAAGAACTCAGCCTCAGGTATTTTGTTATAGCAAGGAAAACTGACTAATACAGTTTCCAGGCCAACCCTTGGAAATTGGCTACATCCACTGTCTATGTTTTGGAGTATGCGCTCTTTGCTCTGAGCTACAATGATAGGAGGAAACTCGAGCCACCTTGTGGAGAGACCCATTGGGGAAAATTTAGCTAGCATTAACTGGCTGGGTGAGTGAGCCCTTTTGGAAATAGGCCCCACAGGTATGATTGAGCCTCCCCAGCTTGCGGTATTCACTAGGCCCTGACCAAATTTGAGATTCAGGAACAAAATGAATGATTCTTGTTTTCAGCCAAGACGCTTTGGGATGATTCTTTATGCAGCAATCCATACACAGAACACTGCCCCCCTCAGTCTGAGCCCGCAAAAGCTTTCCTAGTGGCTGGGTGTGAACTAGGCAGGGAGCGCTCCTGCACTGTGGTCCCCCTGCCATCCTCACCTGGCCGATGTGCCTTCGGGACGGCCATGTTCATCACCCGTCCTCCATCCTGAGGTTTGGGGGGAGACGCAGTGAACCTGCAGATCCCCGATTCCGAAGGGGTGCTGGAGGTCAGACTGTCCGTGTACTCGTTTGTCCCTGCCGTCAACTGTTCGGAGGACGTGTCTGAGATGAAGCACTCGGTGATGGTGAACTTGGCGTGCCTCAGCTGCTCTTCCATCTTGGCGTGCTCGTAGGCCCTGGCCAGCTCTTCGTAGGTGGAGGAGGCACTTTCTGTGGAGACCATGCTGCTTCTTGCGCGATCTACACCCCAGGGAAGAGAAAAGGAGACGGTGACTCACCATGCTAAGTGTGAACCCTCGGGTGACGCTCCCTGGCTTCCGGCCATTCCTTCCAGATCCCAGGAGGATCTGGCAGGGGTCTTGGCTTTGTCAGAAGACCCCGCCTCTGCCGCTCTGAGGCCAGCTTCACGACCTCAGCATTCGGCCCAGGGAATCTTGGTTTCGATCGGATCCCGGCAGTCAGATGTCTCAGCCTTGGACGTTTTCCATAAATAAGTAACACGGCCCCTTAGAAAGCTCTGCTTTTATTGAAAACTCTCTGGAGCGTGGTGTCAGTGGGCTGCAGCATCCCGCTCCCTGCTCTGACTTGCAAATCGATCTGGTCCTTAGAGACTCATTAATTGGCATGGATGATTCCAGCTCTGCAGATCAGCCCCTCCGGCCTCAGCCTGGGAAGCGAGATGTGGGGATGCTTAGCAATGATGTGACTCTGCAAAGAAACTGGCCACCAAGCAGAAGCGTCCCTGATCCCTGGACCCATCCTTTGCTGTGGCACCTTCTGTGGGGACCAGGGAACACCTGGGACAAAACCCAGGGCTGACTTGCCTTTTAACTGGGCCATATCACCCCCATCAGAGAAGCCTCCGCATTTTAAACCTACTAAAAAGTTTTGAAGTTCACCTCTGTGGAACTCTGAGAACCTTCTAAGAGAAATAACAGACACAAAAATAAATTCGCACCGCGATGCCCCACCTCTGGAACTCTGTTTTTGAAGTGTATCATCAAGAACAAAAGAAAATGAGTATTAAAATTTCCTGCAGCTATTAGGTTCAGATATAATTTCTTTCCAGAATTTGAGGGGGGTGGGGTGGGCAGCACACTGCTATTCTTAGGCCCTGTCTTCTCTCAGAAGTGAAATCTCAGTGGCTGATGCCACCGACCAGATGACTTACCTTATAATCAAGCCCCGTTTAATTGTCAAACAGATCAGCCTGGGTGCGCCACGGAGGCTGCCGTGCCCTGGCCGTGCAGCCTCAGGTGTGGTAGCCTAATCCCGGCGTGGGGATTGGGTCAGATGCCTGAGTGCGATCAGTAATTAGGGGCAATCGTGTGGGTGAAAATTTAAAAATGCCTATATTTCTCCAGTAGGGTAGGAACTAAAAGGAGAGATCGGCCTGAGTGGGACACCAAGAGGGAAGCTTTTGGTTTTGCTTTGCAGAATCCCCTGGGCCCTGCACAGAGGAAATGCTGGAAGGTTCTATGATTCTATGGTTCTAGAGAACAGCTCAACAGTGGGAAAGTGGCTTTCAGAAGGGCATAAGCAGGAGTAGAGGAGACCCGCTCTCCCCTCCCCAAGAAGCCAGGGAACAAGGGCTGGCCCAGCTGATCCCCAGGGATGAGGGGCGCGTAAGGGCCGCACCTGTGTCTTGCGAGGGGCTGACGCTGTAACTGTCACTCTCCTTGTCCACGGAGCCCGTGGCCCGGGGCGTCGGCAGCCTCCAGTCTGTGGTGAGGGTGTGTGCTGAGATGGTGGGGTGGGGTCTGTTGAGGGTCCACTGGCTGGCGTACCGGTTTCTGGCTGTGGGCCCGGCCTTTGCATTCCTCCTGGTGGTGGGATCTGTGAAGACACAAGAGGACCGCGGGCAGCTGGGGCAAGCGCTGGGGGCAGCTGTCTCTACCCAGCCTTGCAGGAAGCCTTCCTGGCTTTTCCTGTGGAGGCCCTTGCTCTTTCCTCTCCCGCGGTCCACCATATTCATCAGATTCTAAAGGGGTTTTAAAAGCCCTGCAGGGGAAAGAACATTTTATTTGGAGACAAAAGTATAGATTTGGGCCTTGCTCCTGGCTCTTGGTGATTTTCTGACGTGAAGTTCACTTCACCTCTGAGGATCAGCATCTTATGCAAACTGTGCTTGAACGTGGCTTCCTTCCCGAAGGTCCTGACCTCAGGGAGTTGTGACTGGTCAAACGGTGCCCCTTCCCCCAAAACACCACAGGTCCAATCCTAACCCCAGTAGCTCAGCACATGGTCTTACCTGGAAAGAGAGCCATTGCAGAGCCATTGGTGAAGATGAGGCCACACTGGAATGGGTGGCCCTAACCTACGGTGAAGGCTGTCCTTGCAGGAACAGGGGACAGACCCAGGTGTGGAGTGCAGCTGTGGGGCTGGAGGCAGACACTGAAGTCGTGAGCCCACACAAGCACAGCCAAGGTCGCAAGCACGCTGCCAGCAGCTAGGACCAGGCAAGGGAGGGTCTCCCTATGGGCGTCACAGGATTGTGACCTTGAGGACACCTAGATTTTGAACTTTCACCCCCCCCCCAGAACCATGAGACGATAAATTCTTGTTCTTTGGAGACACAGTTTGTGGTGGTGTTCCTGCAGCCCTAGGAATCTTGTGCCAGTGTCTTTGAACAACCGCTGTCCGTGTTTACCCACTGCTTCAGCTACAGCCGTGTCATTCATTAACTGAGCTGCAGGTTCCCAAGGCCACACGCCAAGGCCACACGCCAGGTCCCAACATTCTCTTAGTCCCTCGCGCATGGTGGCGTAACTCTCCAATGGCATGGTCTGAACTTGGACTGGGAGAACAAAAGGTGAGCTGGTGTTTGAATTTCAAATGTTTACCATTTGCAGAAACACCAAGGGGTGATGCAGGCTGCTGCCAGATGGGTTTTGTCTTAAATCTGGAACCACAGGCAGCAAGTCGACAGAGGGAGGGGACTGAGCGAGCTAAGAAAAAGAATATTCTGGTAGCAAAGAACACTGAGCTGAGTGCACCACGGTGCTGCTGCTTCTGGAGTTCAGCTACCTCAAGAGACTTTTTGGGGACTTCAGCCTAAACACAGCCCAGGGTCCCAGGGGAGGGGGTGCTTTTCCACCTTTGAATTCTTTGTTCCTCAAAGGGAATATCATTGCAGTTGTATTCGAAGGTGCCCTGGCCTCTTGTGAACACAGCAGTCTGTTCTCGGCTCAGCACCAGTGCAGCAGTTTCAAGGAGAAAAGCTGAGAGGGTCCCCACCACGCACATGGCAGCTGCCCTGGCATGGCTACCCGGTCTCCTGAGCCTGCACATTTCTCAGAGCAGGGCAAGGACGTTGCTCTCGAGATCCACCATTGAGCCCACCTTATCCCTTGCACACAGTTTCCTAAGGAATTCCTACAGCTTTGGGTCATGTCATTGATGAGCAATGGCAGCTCAGAGACAAGTGACCCAGCTATCAGGTGATACGAGGGGCACCCTAACCTGCTGCCTTTCAGTGCTGAGAGTGCCTGTTACACACCACAGGTGGCCTAGACCTGGGTACGTGTTAGCACGATCTGTGTGACAATGGCTTCCTCATAGTCTGTGTTGGGGTGTGAGAGCTGACACTGGGGGTGGTGAAGGATTTTTAAGTACAAGATTTGCCTCTTTGCCAGTTTCTGGCTACTGGACTTTGAACCAATCCATCATTCCGTGGTGCCAGGGAAGAGCACTCAGGTCGATACAGCTTGAGATTTCCTGGGCCATCAGAATACTGCCTTGGTGTTGATTTTCGAGGCACATTTCTTCTTTTACTTGCAAAATTTTGCAGAAGACGTTATTGGAAGATGCTGTTGGCCTTGATTAGATTGCAAATGAGCTCTGCTCAAGTGCCCAGCCCTCTACACAACAAGGTGTGAAGGCTAATAGTGCTTCTCTGGCAATGTTAGGAAAGAGGTCCTCAGTGAGACAGAAAAACACTGTCATGGGTAGGAGGCTAGATGTCTTCCAGGCACTATCGACTTGGTAAGTGGAGCTTAAATAAGTGCAGCTCGTTATTTAAATGCTAATGAATCTTTTCCAGAAAATTACCCAGTCCCTTATGTAAGTTTTGAGAAGTCTCATTTTTATTCTTCTTTACGTTTCTTGCAGCTACAGATACAGATCATTCTGGGCAGGTTTTCTCCCGGCACAGATGTGGGTGGGGGACAGTTTGGTCTCACAGCTATTTCCTCCAACCTCCAACCCCTGGCCCGAGTGGTCTGCCCTTGAATTGGCTCCTCAGTGGCAGAAAGAGGACTTCCCAGCCGCAGCCCCTTTCTTCTCTGAGGTTGCCCTACTTAGAAAATTCCACAGGAAAATCACACATATCTGCCTCTATTCAAAGTTGGAATCTTCTCAAGCTGATTTTATCTATTCTTTCTTTTTCCTAGATGGGGACTCTGTTACCAGTGGCCAGATGATGTTGAAAGTATGGGTTGTTATACTGTTTGATGAAGTGCAGTCCCTATGCTCTTCTGTGCTAAGCAAGTGTCCTGGAGTTAAAGCTGTCCTGGGATGTGGACCACGAAGGTGCCTGGCACATTTCTTTAACAATCGGGTATTTGGAGCCCTTATTTTGTACCTGAACTGAACTCTGATGGCTTCTGAGATAATGGCTTGAATGCAATTGTCACTTGGCTTTCTCCAGCAGTGTCTTTAGTGTGACTTACTAGCTCGTCTACTAAACCAGTGTATATTGGGATTTACTGGGCTGCATGGAGGGTACCTTGCATGGAAAGTCCTGGTGATCAAATGCCAATGAGTTAGAGGGTAGGTGATATAAATAGCTCTAGGCCTTTCAACACTGCATCTAAACGTGCATTATGATTCTGCCCATTGAATCGAATTATTTTAATTATCCTGAATTTGGGATAAGAGAAGATTTTGTGAGTAATAGGGTTATGAAACATATCACGTGTACTGTGATCACTGTATTAATCTGCTTTTATCCCCTGGTCTTGGTTTCCATGTCTTACAGATGCCAGGACCTCAGATTTACCAGTGGTCTCAGAGAGACAGAGGATGGGTGGAACTTCCCTCATGTGACCAGCCACCATTATTCAGGGCGTACCACATGCTGGACCACAGGCCTACCCTGGCCCACACCAGGCATCTCCCCAGGACTATCCCAAGTACTATTCTGGGAGACGGAGTATATTTTTTTTCAAAGTCTCGATAATGAACATTTAATCAATGCTGTAAGCTCTTTTTATAAAGTCCCTTACACAGAATGACGTCGTATTTCCATATAACCTTCATATATTCCTGTATATTTTAAATCACCTCAACATTGCTTATACTGCCTAATGCAAAGTAAATACTATGTAAATAACCATTAGGCTGTACCATTTAGGGAATAATCCACAGTTGGTTGAATCACAGATATAAGTCCTACAGATGCAGAGGCCAACTCGTGTGTGTGTGTGCATGTGTATTTGTGTGTGTGTGCATGTGTGTGTGTGTGTGCGGGTGTGGGTGTGCATCACATGATGTCAATGCTCTCTTTCATATGCCTCCCTCATCTCCTTTAGATGGCCCCTCTCTCTTGCAGCCCACACGGTGGCTGAGTATGGGCTTTGGAGTTAGGTTGCCTGGGTTGGAAGTCCTGTTTTGTCACTCACTGGCTATGTAACTCTGGCCCAGTGACCTTATTAGATGGGCCTTTTCCTCCCATCAAAGCCACCTTTTGACTTGAGTGAAATGAACACACTAGAGCACCCCAGGCACAGAAGAGGGTCGTATAAACTAGAGGCTTTGCTGGGTGACACCCGAGCAGCAAACAGTGTGGCTGGGGTGGAGCATAACCTGCCCATCCTGGAAGACGTGATAGGAGATGTGGGGGTTGGTTAGGGAGGGTTGACAGGAAGATGCTCATTAAAAATCACACAACTGGATGCTGCAGAATACTGGTGCTCGGGAGGGAGTGGAAGGGCAGAGGAGGCCATGTCCTCTTCATTTCCCAGTTCAGCGTTTTATACACAGCGGACTCTCCACACTCACTGCTCCTGCATCCAAAGGATCCAAACCTGGGACTCAAAACTGTCCAGGAAGACAGCGTCTGTACTGCACATGTACAGTCGGACTAGTTCTTGTCATTTCCTAGCTAACACAGTGTAGCAGCTACCTGCACAGTATTTACATTATATTAGGTATTTAGAGTCACTCAGATATGATTTAAAGTATATTGGAGGAGAGCTGAAGGTTCCCTACAAATACTATGCCATTTTATAGGAAGGACTTGAGCTTCCTTGGATTTGGGCATCCTTGGGGGTCCTGGAACCATTGTCCCAAGGATATTGAAGGACAACTATCTATCATGGGTGCTTGGTAAATGCTCTGTGTTTTCAAATGAATGAATAATGATTTCCAGGTAAATATGACAAAATAGTCAGAACTAATATGTATCATTTTATATGTCTTCTACCCTTGCCTGTTTTGTAACTAGAAAAACTGATTTTCAATCTCCTAGGTAATGACCTTTGTTGGTAAGTGTGCTGGGAGACACCTATGTGCAGGTTAAGAGATACCTGCTGCTGGCTGAGCACACACTTGTACCCACTGAAGAGATCCCAGGAGATGGACAAGGAAAAGAGGGAAATGAAATTGACTGCCCAAGTCCTCGTTAAGCTAATTCTTTCTTTTCTGTCATATTCTGATTTCAGATCTTGACAGTGGATCTGTAAATACATTTCAGTACTGTGCATTATGATGTACACTTAAGCTGGGGTTCTGTTCATGTCCTTAACCCAATCCTAGCCACAATACCTGATGCTCAAATAGGACTTGGGCAATCAATTTAGTTCATCTTTCTTTCTCGTCCACCTCCTGGCTGGAGTTGGGCCAAGGACATAAATAGATCCTCAGTTTAAATGTGCATCATAATCCACAGGAGAGACCAGGGAGTCATATAAGATGTAGCTGAGGGATTGTGTTTTTGGACATCGGAGAGGAGAGAGAGCAAATCGCTGCCATTTCTCCCATCCTCATACTAAGAATTTGTTGGCAATCTCTGGCAAGCTCATCAAATGTTTAGAAATATAACTTTTGCAATGCAATCATTTTAGGGCCCCCAAAGCATACTTTAGATGCTCTTATTAAAAAGGACAAATTCATACAATGGCACATAATCCTAACCTACAAAAATAGAATAATAATGTCTTTTGTAGTTGAGGAGATAGGGAATATGGTTGTCTGTTGGCATCTGCAGGATTGCTTCCAGGACCCCTTCCTTTGCTACCCAAATCTGCTGATGCTCAAGTTCTTTACATAAAAGGGCTCAGGATTTGCATACAGCCTACACACATTCTCCTGTGCACTTTGAATAAACTCTAGCTTACTTATAATTCCTACCAGGTAAACAGTAAGTAAGCAGTTGTTATACTGTGTTGTTTAGGGAATAAGGATAAAGAATAAAAGTCTGGGCATGTTTGGTACAGGAGAAATTTATTTTTCCAGATGTTTTTTCATTCGTTTTTTGGTGAATATGCTGATGCAGAACCTACAGATGTGGAGGGCTGGCTGTCTCGAGAAGAACCTCTCCACAGGGCTGAGTTAGCGCAGGTGTAACACCTGGCAGAGTGGACAAGCTCCGGGGCACAAGAAGCAAGCACGGAGCTGGGCTCTGGAAAGGTCATGGTCTTCAGGCCCCTGAGCCTGCTGTGAGACCAGGCACCCAATGTCACTACCGCTAAAGATAAATTTTAAAAATTTAGTGAAAAACTCATCCCAAAGACGTTTTTCAATACAGAGTATTCTGCAGATGATAAATGAATAGCTTCATTTGCGGGGGAAGGTGGGCATCAGTCTGATGAATGGATCTGAGCAGCTTCGTTGGGGTTGGTGAATATCATTAATGAAGTTCACCACAAAGGAAAGACGACATTGTTCTCTTAGCTGTGGTGTTCCTGTGTGACAGTCAGGAGAACACTCCAGACTCTGGGAATGGGCACACATGAGAGGTCTGGCCTGGGAGGTCCTACAGACAGCCCAGCCTTTTGTCCCTCCGGCTTTCTCTTGCCATTGCCTGGCCGCTCACTGAACCTCGGGGCTGCATTGATCCCCAACATGCTGGAGTCTCTGGGCGTCCCTCCTGCTCCCATAGTGGCTGGCAGCTCTTGCTCTCCCCTGACCTTGGCTCCTACCTGCGCCTCCATGGAAGGCTTCCCAGACGACCCAGATCCGCGACAGCCCCCTCTGGCAGCTGCCACATCCCCAACAGCTCTCCACGTGTTCGTTCTGTTCGGTTTCATAGAGCACTTATTGAGAAAAGGTTCTTTAGCTCCCAGTTTACTGTTTGCCTTCCTGAATGAAATGAATGTGTTTCTGTATTTCAGTCATGACATATTCCCGTTGCTGAGCATGGAGCCATGTGTGCAGAGTAAACCTGAATAAATAGTTTTCAATGTGAATGCATGATTTCTTCAAGTTCCCCGTGGGCTTACAACTTCATGGCCAGGAGATGTGGGTGAGCATCGGCCTACCACTCACCATCCTTATGCAGATTTGTATTTTCTGCCTGGGACTCAGACCCATGTCTCTGTTGATGTTTTAAATGCCTTCAAAGCCACTTCTATTGTTCTGGGGCTTCATACATGCAGTTGGAAGGTCCCAGTGCTTCTGTGTCTTTGCCTCTTTTCCATTCACAATTTGTGACCAGCCCTCAAGCATTTCTCTGCCCAGTGCACACTGAAGGGAGCTGGAACTGCTTGCTACTTTTTACCTGGCAGAAGGAACTGATGTGCTGAGAGCCTTGCAGGCTGCAGGGAGCCTGCACTGTGGTGCACTGTGGTGCTCAAGGACACTTGCCTGGCAAGGGGACACTTCCTCCTGCCTCCTCCAGGACATCTCTGGGACACTCAGGGAGGTTTCCCACATCAGAGACACTGGAGGTTGTTGAAATGCAGATTCCTGGGCCCCACCCTACACTAACCAGACCAGAATCAGGCCAGAATCTCCAGGGCAGAGCGCTGGAATCACTCTATTTTAAAGAGGTACCTTGGGTGACTCTGATGTACCCAAAAGGCGGGAAACACTGCCTGGGGCATCTGGCCTGTTTTCTCTATTTGCTCTCCCTGCTACTGTTCCCAGCAGTGTCCATGGGGACGGAGCCTAAAGAACTCTGGAGCCTCAAATGCACCCATCTGGAACCAGGGTCCACAATTCCCCCTTAATGATCAGTGAAAGCGGCTCAGAAACCTCTCAGAGCATTGTCTTGGTGCAGCTGGGAGCCAGACCAGGTGGATCACGGCGGGGAAGTCACGGGCTAGAGACATGCCCAAGACTCCCAGCATTAGTTTAGGAGCAAGACTTGCAGAAACAGCCCTGGGCCAAGCTACCTCACTGACTGCCCATTCGCATCTTCAGAAAGTACTGATGCCATCCAAGAAGGAAGCAGGTGAGGACAGACAACAGGGAGAGACAAAGGACTTCTTCAACTGTTCCCAAAGACACTGTTGCAAAGGAATTTTGATACAAGATAAATCTCTTTGCTGTGTATCACAATGCCATTTGGTAATGGAGCCCTCTGCACTCCTGAGTTCTTTACAAGCTAGAATTCGTGAAGAATAACTTTCACTATTATAATATTTCTTTCTTTCTAATGATAGCACATTACTCTAAGAACATACATCTTTGCAAAGAGAGTGATTAGAGATTTAAAAGCTAGACATCAAAGCCTCCAAAATGAATATAATCAGGACATCAATTTCTCAGTCTTTAAAGAGATTTAGGAACAGTTTCAATTATGAAGAAACAAGAATATCTAATTAATAAGCTCTAGATACGTATTAGAGGATTTAACTTCATAGCAGTAATTAATTTCCATATATTATGGATGCAAATACAAATAACTAAAACCAACATAATCTCCAGATTAGCCAGAACTATAATTTTTTTCTCAGGGTGTTCAGGAGAAAGAACACAAGCTTCCGGGACAGACAAATATCAGTTGAATCTTGGTTTCCCTGTTTTTATGTGCAGAGCTTTGGGCTGTTTGCCTAACTTCTCTGAGACCCAGAGTAAAATAGGAAGTCTGATCACTCTGTGAGTAGAGTCCTTGCAGAGCTGATACCGAGAAAACACATATGACATCACCTTCCCATCCCAAGTCCAGTGAGGCTAATTATACCTTTCCTTGTGTTGTCTGAATTTTTAAAAATCGACATGAAATTTCTAGCATTTTTCCTATTACACTGATACCAAGCATTATTGGCTTTAGCTGACATGATTCTAA